ACTCAAATTTATTAAAATCCCAATAATAATCATAACAATTGAAATAGACCAAACAACAAATAACTATGATAAAATAAATTGGCAAGGACTGAGAAGGCAAATATTCCATCTCCCCTATAAGTATGCTTAAACTTCATAACATTTGTTTGTTACTATTTCAGGCTCCAAGTAAAGTTGTGACACGCTCATGCATAACATGATGCTTCAGGAGTTCAAGTACTTGATCATTAGCATCATCATTATCATCATCATCATCATAATCGTCGTCGTCATCTGTCGACTCCTCAGATGCTAAATCAACTGGAGGCAGTAACTCCCCTTTATCTAGCAAAACAAGGCTTTCCTCGTAATTCTCATAGTAAAAAGAGTACATAGTACCAGCAATAGTGGTTCTTTGTGTTGTTTGCATCTCAGGATTATACAAAGCTAGCATCCCTGTCATGTCTGTCAACAATATTTTACGACAATCAGCAACGGCTAGTACCATGCCCAAATTCCCCTGGCCCAGTGCAACATTATATTCTTTGCTCCATAAATCTATGTCTCCATACCTTTTCATTACCCAAATAGAGCAACTGCTGCTCCAAACACGTGTATCATACTGATACACAACAAGTAATTCCCTAAGCTGTGCAACATTTAAATTTGTAGGGGGTTCATTAACCAAAATTTCTGGTAATGATAATTCTTGAAAAATCTCCTCATTGAGATCAAACATCATAATCAAGTTCTCCACCCTTCTCTCCCCATTTCTCTTGTATGCAGTCCAGTAGACTTTCCCACAAATTTCAACTTGTGTCCAGAAATACTCTACGATACCAATATCTGGAATAAAACCATCAAAATCCTTCCAGATTCCTGAACTAAGAGCATAAATCTCAACCCTAGGTGGCAGCAAGTATTGACCATCACCATGAGCATAGGCCATCCTCACAACCTTGTAGTCTCTTGTTTTAACAGCAAAACCAAACCCAAGGACAAACATGTAAGTCCCTGAGTTGTCACAGCCAAGAGGAGTCAATGGGAGGGTGAGGCATCTGGATATGCTAGGATTCCAAAGTACCACAGGACTACTATGGTCTAATAAATCATCTAACATACAGAGAACACCGTTGCATATACCAATGATCCTACAATAGAAATAATCTGGCAATCCGACATTAAAAGGCGATCTTAATCGCATTACAGGGGTGTCAAAATTTGATACATCAGCGAGTCGAATTTTTTCCTTCTTGAGACCTATGCTGAAATACCTTTTGAATAAATGTGTAGGGGGTTTTAGGAGGACCGATTGTTGTGTATGTAGCCATATGAAGTCGGGGCTAGAAATTAGTGCATTCCAAGATTTTGATAAACACCTTAATTGGAGGAGAGATTTGGGTTGGATCTTTGAGAAGATTAGGACCATCATCTCTATTGGGAGATATTCTGACATTTTTCTTAGTTATGAAGTTGAGTGGGCTAGGGAGAGCTCTGGAAAGAGAGACTACTTGTTGGGTGTGGGCAGGTGTTTGAAGTATCAATAGTGAATAGAGCTTCAATGCAATGATAAGAAGTCAGAGGAAGCATTATTTATACAGGGTAAATAGAGAAAAGACTAGATTTTGTACCCAAAACAACAATTGGATTCTCATCAAGAAAGGAAAATTCTTTAATAACTTGCTTAAGATCTCTCCTCACATTTAGGTGACAAAATCTAAAGACTAACTTATCTACCAAAAACAACAATTGAATTCTCATCTAAAAAGAAAAATTCTTTAATAACTTGCTTAAGATCTCTCCTCACATTTATGTAACAAAATCTAAAGACTAACTTATGTACCAAAAACAACAATTGGATTCTCATCTAGAAAAGAAAATTCTTTAATAACTTGCTTAAGATCTCTCCTCACATTTAGGTAACAAAATCTTGAAAATTTATTTGAGATTAGCAATCAAAAAAATTAGGGGAAACGGGCAAATATACCCCTTAACTATGCAATTTTGAGCAGATATACCCCTTCGTTAAAAAAGTGATGCATATATACCCTCGTTGTCTAACAAATGATGCATATTTGGCCTTTTCCTTAACAGATTGTTAAAAAAAATAATCCTAAAACTGTTTGCTTAATTCCAAAAATGTCACGTGGTTTTCAAAAAGAGAATTTAAAAAAAGGAAAAAAGACAAATATATCCCCGAACTATAGTAAATAGTATGCAGATATCCTCCGTCATACTTTTGGGACATTGGTGCCCCTATTGTCAGAAAACTAGAGCATATATGCCCTTCACTCTAACGGAAGACTAAATAAGAACGCGTGACGCAATTTTATCTGTTGATTTGATATTTAATAAATGTCGGATCGGTAGATAAGATTATGACACGTGTATGTCCGTTAGTATAAATGGTATATACACTCTAGTTTTTGGACGGCAGGGGCACCAATGTCCCAAAAGTATGATGGAGAATATCTGCGTACTATTTACGATAGTTCGGGGATATATGTTGTCCTTTTTCCCTTTAAAAATGACTTATCATCTTAGAGATCTATAACTTTAGTTTGAGTATTTACAATTCATAGCTACTGTTTGGATTGCTACGCGGAAAAAAAAAGCTCTCTCTCTTATTTCCTCAATCTGGCTCGCCTCTCTTTCTCTCTCCCTCTCTATATATATCCCCCCCCCCCCCCCCCTCTCCCTCTTTGTATTTTGATTACCTCTTTATCTATCTCTTTGTATTTTCTCTACTCTTCCTCTTAGTGTTATCGCCTCTCTTTGTATTTTGTATTCTCGTCATTCTATCTCTTTATATATATATATATATATATTTCTTGAGGTATTATGCGAATGTATTTGTTGTATTCATATGTGCATTTAGGTTGTATCCTCTCTCTCTCTCCCTCTCTCATCCCCTCACTATATTTTCTATGTCCACCCCTCTCTGTATTCCTATATTTTTTAGGTGTCATGCGACTGTATTTGTTGTATTAATAGTGCTTTTAAGTTAAACACCTAGTGTTTTTGTCTCTGGTAGCATTTGAACCTGTGACCTCATGGTACTCAACCCATTTCATTGACCACTAAGATTTTATTTGTTTTCATTAAAATATAGACGTCTGAATCTAAATGCACATCTAAATGATTAATATATTGTATCTTGATTTGAATACTAAATGATTAAGACTATTTGTTGTAAGCATTCCTCATTTTTCCATAGCCCTTCTTGCAGACGACATCCTAAATGACGTTGGCTTGGGTATTCGCAACATTGATTTCTCCGTTGTTTCATTACCTTAGCTGTAACCTTGCTCTAATACCAAATTGTCACAGACTTCTACTAAGCACATGTGAGGCACTTGACAATTTGCTCACGTTCTTGCACCACTTGCTCACAATCTTGCTATGCCAAGTCAGCCTAAAACTCTAGGAATTGCTAAGAGAATGGAAGAGAGAACACAAGACGATTGCTAGGAAAATTATTATTGTAGAGAACTTTGATTTTTTTGTTTTGAAAATATTGTATGTATTGTATAGTTGTACATAGAGTATCCATTGCCATACGAACAAAAATACGGCTTCCCATTACTAAAAAGCTTTAAAATGATACTAATAAAGAGTAGAAAATAAAGCAACCATCTCAACTAGAGATAAATACCGAAAAACATAACAATTTAAAAGATAAAAGCATAAGAGGGATTCAAGCCACGATCAACAACCACCACTAGTGCATTCACGGGCAAAGTGACCATCCTCACTACATTTGTAGCAACCACCGCCAGAGTATCTACCACTAGTGATCATGGTTGCTACAAATGTGGTGAGGATAGTCACTTTGCCCGTGAATGCACCAGTGGTGGTCGTTGATCATGGTTGCTAACAATCCTCTTGTGTTCTCTCTCTTGGCGATTTCTAAAGTTTTAGGCTGACTTGGCATAGCATGACCGTGAGCAAGTGACGCGAGAACGTGAGCAAATTGTCAAGTGCCGCACGTGTGCTTTGTAGAAGACTAAGTCCGTGACAGTAAGCTGTATTAAAAACTTGGTGCTTACAAACTTATGCTATTCAGGAACTCAGCTGCTTGACTATTAGACAAACTAGAACAGGAAAGTTTGCAGAGGTGGAATGGATGGAATCATGTTATGGGAATTACAGGAGTAATTTTTACTACTAAAAGTTGCCATATGTTTTGGCAAAGGCTGGAAATATTGCACTATGGTAACCAGGATATATAGAGTACGTTCTTAAACATTTTGGAGTTCAATGGGTAAATAGTGTCAAAATAGTTTTAAGAAGGCTCTCGTGAGCTAGTCCCTATTCTACGGATTCAATTGAACACAATAATTTAAACATGGAATACAAATATTTATGTGTGAACTGTGTTGGGACCATCCAGAATCCACTTATAAAAACCGAAAACCACATCAATTTATTAACCAAATCAAACCAAACATAGAACCGACTTGTATATAACTTTTAAATGTATAGGCGTGTTTACTGAACTTACAATATCATATAGTAGGACTTACAGTCTGCTTGGCTCAGAAATGCAAGACTTGAAACATTACCTAGTTATAGTAAGGGCGTTGTTTCTGATGCAAACAACATAACAGCAAATACAATGTGCAGAAAATGCATTATAAAACGCACGCAACACACCTACGATACTAGTGTGTGAACCTTCCTTGCATATAATACACCTCCTAAAGCCATAACCAACACAAACCTTTACATTTTTTCCCATTACGTAAAGCATCGCCATCAGATTTTAAACCATAAACACTAAAGGTAGGATTCACCATCAGATTTGAAACCACACTCTTCAATGCTCAACTTCCAGACAAACAAAAAGTTTAAGTAGCATTACAAATCCACCTGCAATGGATTGCAGCAATTCTAGTCACGCCTCCAAGAAGAATATGTACAAAACAAAATACGAGGAAAATAAACACACTCAAGCAGACAGAGGAACCAAATATCAAAGCGAACCAAAAGAAAAATCTGTAAATTGAACGATCTTTTAGCTAAAAAGTCATCAAAGGAGTTCTATTCATGAAGAGCCAGAGCCACTATTGGATTAGAGTAGTGTTTATGCTCTGGTACTTTTGAGCATTGATTCACCTGGAACCCAAGGTTCCGGATAAGAGTTCAAGATGAAATCAACTAACTTTGACTGGCCAGATTATGCACTAGATAATTGAGATAACAAGTGTATCTATAGACCTATTATATAACAAGTATAACTTATTTAACAATCAGAACATCATCTCAACATCAAAAAGAAAAGGTTTGCGAAGATGCAGCTGAAGACCAAGACGAAGTGAGCAACATAAATGATCCACTGCATAATCTGATAAACCAACCGCTGAAAATATGACTTTTGCTTCTTATCATCCAAGAGAGAGCCCAGAAAACAGCAATTCCAACTCCTCATCCTGTGAAGTGGTTCTCTGCATAAAATGTGAGACAATGTAAACATAAAACCCCCAATTCAAATGCTTAATAATAAACTCAAAGCCATAAGAAATCTATGATGCACTTATAAACAATACAACATCCCCGAGCAAGTTGTCAAGTGACTATAGAGATGTAGTTCTTCTCCCTCCTAAAAACAAACTTGTTCTTATACTAATCATGATGGTGAAACAAAGCATGCTAGACCAGCAAACATCAGAACAATTTTATCACAGTTTCTCCAACAATTACCCTATAAACAAGTAGCCTGGCATTGTATAATCACCAAATTGGTTGACTAGACCGACTAATGATCAGACAATGTGCCAAAACTTTCACGAGGGAGAGAGGAGAAAACATCCACAAGAAGACTTACAGATTGTGTGTGGTATGAATTTCAACCGAACCATTCTTCTCCAATAGGAGCAGAAGGGCCTGAGCATGTTATAGGGAGAGGAAAATAGTAATAGGCCAATCTGTTTCAAAGGATCAAGAGGATTCCTAAATCTCTAGATATGAGGCCAATTTCTAGTCATACTGTTCTTTTAAACACACACAAAATCAAACTAGTAATTGTTAATGTTATACAACTGATGTAGACCAGAATTCATACAGGAATATCTCTCGTTATTTCCTTGAATATACCCAAAATTATAAGAAGAGCCTAATGCCAACAATCTTACGACTTAAGGTGGCACTTATGCATGGAACACATTGAGAAAGTAAATGGCTTGCATTTTCCCCATACAGAGTACCCTCTAGGATAGCAATAGAAGTCATCATCCACATGCTACAAAGTCACTAGCAGTATATCAAATGCTTGAGACCCTCCAAGATAAACAATAATAGGCTGTGATCAGTGAATTTAACCCTGGATAATGTAGCATTGCAGTAATGAGACCTCAAGCATGATATGTCGTGTGCTCGAGTAGGATGTTTAAAAAGGTCTCCTTTTCCCATAGCTACTTATTTGTAGTACAGTAAGATACAACTACTATAAAACACAAGCAAAAGAGATCACAATGATCATATATATATCTTAAACATGCATACGCTCCCCCGCCCCACCCCCATTGAATGTATGTACCATGTACCTGAATCGACAGAAGTTCCAGAATTTTGTTTAGGACACGCATCCGATGAGTTGCATATGCACTGCTTGGTGGAAGTCTACTCACTCTCTTCATTTCTTCATGAACTGCTCCCATTTTCCCTTCAGATCCCATCTGCCTAAGTGCATCATTAGAAGACTGGGTGCTAGGGAGGCCGTCTTTGGGAGGATTTAGGGCACAACTGTGATTAACTTGATAGGAAGGATCCATTGAACCACCTATATATAAAATGACATACTTAAGCAAGGATAAAGCAGAACCTCACAAGACAAATGCTAGGTCAAACTCAAACAGGCTCTAAGTTGAACTCCCTAAAAAAACCTAGATAGGCAAAGGGAATTGAACTTCCTAACATCTAGCTACACCCCATTCGTGCAAGAGTTCGGAGAAAAATTACATGGTATATTTTGTTTAACAAGATAAAGCGAAACGGAATTTCAGAAAACAAGATAAATACCTAAACGGCGGCAATTGAAATTCACTGCCGTCTCCGGTTGCCGATCGGAAAATCTTTTGCGTCAAGAGAACGTAGCGACCGTATCGAACAATCCAGAATATTTCGGGTTTCCAGAAAACCGGAGATTCTCTCTAGAGTAAAAGAAAACGATCAAAGTTTGAAAAATTTCACAGTGACCCCTTAAGAATTGTATGGTCTCCAATATACCCTTATTCGATGTTGGGATCGGTGTTTTAAAAGGCGTGAGTCGAGACATTTTATATGATATGAAAATTTTCAAAATAACCCCCGATGCTCGTCTTAGAAACACTATTTAGAACATTGTTTGGGACTCACTTCGGGCAGCATACATGTAGAGTGTTTTGAGGCTCACGTTGAATTTAGTTCTGTGAGGTTTACTTTCCAAATACCCATTGTACGTCTCAGGTACACCTAATGCTCAACGCTTTAGGATTCATTTAACAGTTTACTAAAATCACATGTCAAATTCTCTAATTAGCATTGTTAGACTTTAAGTTAAGTTCTTAATAAACTACGATTACGAAGTACAAAACAAAAGTTTATTGTCTTAAAAATTGTCATAAATAATACAAGTGAATAAAGAATATTTCCTTTGTTCTATATTAACTGAATTTTTGGGTTTTTTTTTTAATTGTTCTAAATAATTAAATTATTCAAAGTTCAAGATGAATGTTTATTTTTATTATATTTTTCCATTCCTTTAATAAAATTCGGTATTTTCTAAAAGATAAAATATTGCACTACTCACAAAGTTATATATATGGTTTCTCAAAGGACAATAATGGAAATTATTATTTAAATTATGTTCTCGAATAATTTTTTTAATAAGTGTAAATATGGAGTAATTAGGAAGGAGTTCAACTTTGATCTACACCGTTGATTGACAATAACATCAAACGGCTCAAACTCAGATCCGCGTCATTCAAAAGTAACCAATGAACAGCAAGCCTAAACTCATATATAATAAGTCTCTTCATCCCTTTCACTTCACACAATTCAAACTCAAAAGCCCTCCAATTTCTTACTAATTTACGAAATCTCCCCTTCAATGGCACCAAAGGCAGAGAAGAAACCCGCAGAGAAGAAGCCAGCAGCTGAGAAGGCTCCTGCTCCTGCCGCTGAGAAATCAAAGGCCGGCAAGAAGCTACCCAAGGACAGCGGAGCCGCTGCTGCCGGAGACAAGAAGAAGAAGAGGTCGAAGAAGTCGATCGAGACTTACAAGATCTACATCTTCAAGGTATTGAAGCAGGTTCATCCAGATATAGGAATTTCAAGCAAGGCTATGGGAATCATGAACAGCTTCATCAACGATATCTTCGAGAAGCTTGCTCAAGAGTCTTCAAGGCTTGCTAGGTACAACAAAAAGCCTACCATCACTTCTCGGGAGATTCAAACCGCCGTCCGATTGGTCCTTCCCGGTGAATTGGCTAAGCACGCCGTCTCTGAGGGTACTAAGGCAGTTACCAAATTCACTAGCTCTTAGAGATGTGTTAGTTTTGTATTGATTTTTCTGTTGGGTTTAAGATTTTCATTTAGCGTTTTGGTGATGTAAAGAACAGAAAAATTGAATATAAAATAGATTTTATGAAATTGACGCTACTCTTTATATATAGTATGATTTAAATTACATATTGAATAACAATAAACAATATCAAAATAATTCGATAACCAAAACACAATAAATAATACGGTGGTATGTCAAAAATAAGAAGATACAAGAATAAGGCTAATACTACGACATCATTGAGAAGCCGACAAAATATTTATATTTTGTTTGGTATGGTTTAAAGTGTAGGTAATTAGGCCTATAAATTAAGCATTAAAAGTTTAGAAATAGTTTGGTATTATGCCTACCTGATTAATAATACTAACTAATGCTGCAATTTTCATAGAAGCAGTTCAGTTTGAGACTCGATGAAGGGAAAGCAGGAATCCATAAAGCTATTGAGTTCTATTGAACCTGTAAACTGTTCCGTGCCTGTTAAGCAAAGGCGCGGGAAAATGGGAATTTGGAGCTTGGTGAATTTCGGCAAAGAAACTGTGAAGAAGGTATGTGAAATTTCCTACGATTACAGCACGGAGGCTGTTAGAAAGATGGACGAAATCGTTAGAGTTAAAGGCCTCGAAAAACTTGGTGAGTACATGGCGGATGAAGGTCATGCTAAGATGGTTTATTTCGGTGCAAAATTCGTCAAAAATGCTTCACTTTATGCATTCAAGGAAGCAGCCAACATCTTAATTCCTGGTTAGCTTCCCTCTCATTTTCCGATGCTCAACTTTTTAAATTCAGTTACGGAATTACTAGTTGTTAAAAATGTGTAATTGTATATGGCCTGGTAGTCAATGACGTGGATTGAAAATCATAAGATTTACGTTTAAGTCTCAGCACTCAGTAGAGGTGAAAAATACTAGTTATTTCTTGTCATCTGTTCTAGGAGAAAACACAAGCTGATTCATATATGACAGTTTATTTTTAAAAAATGGTGTTAGAGGTCAAATGGTTAAATGTTATGTTACAACATGTAAATACGCGTAAATAGTGTTAAATTCTTTACATCGTTAGTGTATAGAAGTTAAAGCAATGAATGATTACGAATTATTAAGCTCTAGAGAAATGTAATATAATGTTTATTAGGTGAAAACAAAGGCAGAGATTTGGGCAATGTGAGCTTTATTTTCATGTGTATGCAGGTGGAAGGGCATTTGCCAAAATTTTCGCTGAAACAGTTCGTGAAATAGAAAGTGAGTCTCGAAATAATGCCACTGGCAATGTCGCGGCAGAGATGCTGAAATGCAGAGAGCTGAAGTTAGGTTCTGAAAACAGAGTTCATGGTGATTCATTTACACATCAAACACCTGAAGATGTCCTGAGATTCTTCATGATGATGGAATTTATGGGCACTCGTTATCTCAACTCTTTGCTAGTTTCTGATCATGGACAATGAAACGTATAATTGAAGTAAAATTTCACTTATTGATTCTTGTATTATGAGTTTCATATGCTTGTAAGAAGTTAAATTCAAGTTACCTCTTTGTTTTCGAAAGTATGAATATGGCATTACTATTTCAAAAAAATAAAAGAAAATACTTAAAATTATGTCATTGTATAGCTTTGAATAATACATAAACATGCCTTTCCAAACGGACCCTAAGTATTATGCCATTTATTCATTTATTTTGAACAAAAAAACATAAATAATTTGAGACGGAGAGAATAATGTGGCCTTGTAGTAGTATAAAGTTGAAATTTTCCTTGAAACTGTTAAGAGTGTCAAATGGGAAATGAGGGGCTACTTCATATAATTCCGATCTACTCTTCCGGGGGATGGAAGACAGGACGGGAATTTGGGGTTTCATTACTTCCGGCAAAGAAAAGGTGAAGTATGTCTGTCATTGCATTGGTGATGGTGAAGGTCGTGCCAAAATCGTTCATTTCACTGCAAAATTCGTCAAAAATGCTTCATTTTATGCCTTCTAAGAACCAGCCAACATATTAATTCCTGGTTTGCTCCATTTCAAATAATTTAAAACTTCTATGTCCGAATTCTTGATTGTATCGTATGTTTAAATTCATTGTTAGGTAACGTAAAGTTTCTTTTTATGCAGGTGGAAAGGATATCTCCAAAATTTATGCTGATACGGTTCGTGAAATAGAGACAGAGTCTAGAGAGAAACAAGACAGGTCGTGTGACAACGAAATAATTGGAAATTTGAGTAAGATAACTAATGGTAATACTGGTCCTGTGATATTGCTTGATGGGGCAGAGAAGCTGGAAAGTATAAGGGAGCTTAAATTGGGTTCCGAAAACAGAGTTCAAGTTGATTCATTTGCGTATCAAACACCTGAGGACGTCCTGAGATTCTTTATGATGATGGAATTTATGGGCACTCGTTATCTGAATAATTTGTTGGTTCATGATAATCGTCAACAGAAGAAAGTGTAGTTTATTCTAGTATGTATTAGGACATCGAGGCATCGATCGATCTCGTAAATGTTAGTTAGTATTACTGGATTGCTAGTCAAATCTTGGTTATTGTTTTGTTTCCTTTGAAACTCTCATGATGGGAAACAAATCTCATAAATATGCTTTAGTAATCATAGTAATAAAATTAAAATTATTTCTTTTCATTTTCGTTAGATGAAGGGTACATGTGAGCTATTTTTGTAACGATGAGTATATGTGAGCAATTTATATAACGGTTAGGGTATGTATGAGTCACTTTCATAACGAGTGGTATATCAGCTCTGCATGACAAAGTTAAGGGGTATATCAAACTCTTTTTTTCCTAAAATGAATGTCTTTTTTTCTTTTTGGGTACATGTTTAATTTCAATTTTCCATATGACATACTTAAATCAGGGCTAAATGACACTTTTGTACATTCTACGTATATTTGTTCTAGATACAAGTTTCAATTTTATTTATTTTTCTTAAATTCGTGTCAAATCAAAATCAATCAAACAATTATATATGTCTAAATCCACTTCTCCCCGTATATGCCTAAATATGGCCCACGCCATATATGTCTAAAACCATCTACTTTATTGTTATTCGTATTCTTTTTTGACAACTCTTTAATGGACATTTGATCATGAAAAAAATTATACTCCCATCGTTCCATTTTATATGTCACTTTTGTACTTTGCAATTGCATTAAGAAATGATGTAACTTTACCCTTCTACCCTTATTTAATTTTTTTGAAACTCAAGTTTTCAATAAATGAATATGAATTAATTTATTTTGATTAATTAATTTAACCAATGAATATGAATCATTTACCTAACTTTTCTAAGTTGGTCAAATTTATATTTTCAATGTTAATAACTCACAAGGGTAAAAAAAGAACAATATGTTAATTTATGCATAGATTTTATGAAATAACAAGTATTATGGATCAACTATTTATAGAAAGGATGACATATAAAATGAGACGGAGGGAGTAATATATAATTAAAATACTATTGTTGCCATTTTCTAAGAATACAAGGAGGCAAGCGAAAAAGCACAAGTTTGGTTCCACTTTCCAGTGCGGTAGCATTTTTCGAGTTTTTCTAGTTTCCGAGTTAAGCAAAGGGCAAAATGGGAATTTGGGACTTTATAAGCTCCGGCACAGAATCGGTGAAACGGAACTCACCGGATCTAGCAACTCCGGTGACGAAGGTATGCAAAAGTACCTATTATTACAGTGCGCCCGCCGTCAGAATGATCGACAACGTCGTTCGAGTTAACGGCGTGCAGAAGCTGGGTCAGTACATTTACAAGCCTGATGAAGAAGACAGGGCTAAAATCGTCAATTTCAGTTCAAAATTCGTCAAAAATGCATCCGTTTATGCCGTCAAAGAAGCAGCCAACATCTTCATTCCTGGTTTGCTCCCTTCTCACTAATGATAAGTCGATGTTTATACCAAATTAGAGGCAGATTAATGAGATTTTAGGTATTAAGATAAAATTGAACAAGTAGACACACCGATTTGCCTAGCTAATCGGGTGAAATTTGTTACATAGAATTCTTTTATAATTCTGGAGTATGTGGTTCATGTGTGCAGGTGGAAGAGCAGTCTCCCAAATTTACTCTCAAACAGTCCGCGAAATGGAAATTGAGTCTAAGAAGAATCAAAACACATTGTGCGACAAGGAAATAACTGGCAATTCGAGTAAGGATACCAGTAGTACCGTTCCTCCGGGATTGCTCGATGGGGCAAAGATACTGGAAAACAGAAAACTGCAGTTAAGTTCTGAAAATAAAGTTCAGGTTGATTCATTTGCACATCAAACACCTGAAGATGTCCTACGAGTTTTCATGATGAAGGAATTTAGTGGCTCTCGTTATCTGGACAATTTGCTGGTTCCTGATCATCGACAACAGAAGAGAGGTAATTGATTCTTGTATGTATCTTGACATTCTCATATATATATATATATTATGTTTGCTTTGAAAATCGCATGCTGGGAAGCAAGTTTTATATAGTTATTTCATCTATGCAACTACAATTTGAACTGCAGTATTAAGGAGAAGCTCCATCATGTAGTTTATCACGTTTTGCGATCCATGATGGATCTCTTAGTATTATGAGTTTGAATATGTGTTACCTCTTTGTTTTGCTTCCTTTGCAAAATCCATGACAGGAAGCAAACTTCATAGATGACTCTACGCTTGTATTGTAATATGAATTGTAGAATCATGACGAGTTTTATTGAATATGCTTGTAATTAGAATTTAGAATTAGTCCCTCTCTATCTCTGCGGTAGGTGTAAGATTTGTGTACACTCTACTCTTTTCAGATTCTACTTTATGAGACTACACGAAATATGTTGTTGTTTGGACGTTATTAATGCCTCTTGGAGTTTGAAACTTTGAGAATTTACACTACCAGACACATAAAACTAAAGTATTCATTTCAAATTCCAAAAACAATATTAGCTTACTTTATAGCTGGAGTTGTGTGATACCTCAACTTAAGATAAGAAGTCGTGCAGGCGTAAGCTCAAGGCAAATAATATCCCCAACATCTATTCATTTTCAACACTAAACCCAACGTGAAGAACTTTTGGAAATTAGCTTGCTAATGTTGATAAACTCCAAGAAGTAATTATCAATAGAATTATTTTTTATTAATCGTTCCATCTAAAACACTATATGCAATGTTGCCTTAAGCTCAATAGACCAACGAATCAAAAGATGACTTTTTAAACATTTGTGAATGGAAAAGATGTATTTGAGCAAGATACTTGTGCTCATGAATTAGGTATGTCATATTGAGGCAACAATTTCGAGTTCTTTTATAATTGAAAATAAAATTATTAGTGTCCGATTAAAATTCGTAGCTTAGTGAAATAGTCTAGTTTTAAAAGCAATTATTCGATCATTCCCTTGTTTGAAATTAATTTAGAAAATTCGCACTCTCAAATACCTTGACACACATACTCCTCTTGGGATCAACCTCAACTTTTTGTTAGGCTTATTATTGCTACGATCATATTATATTTCACTTTGAGGTATAGGATTGGACGTGACAATTTTGATGGCCAGGTTAAAATAATTCCTTAAATATGCATTGAGCAATTTTTGGTTAGTATTTTAAGTTCATCAAATATTTATCGAACTATGTTTGTTAGATTTGACAAAAATAATGTGGAAATATTTTTTTAATTTTTACATATAAGAGATTTTCATCTTTCCACGTTAAAAAATCTTTAAAAAATTATGTTTCTCTATTTAAATTATATAAGAAAACAAAGAAATCTCGTTTCCTCTCATTTTTTTAAAACTACCCTCAAAACATAATTTTTGTCACTCTCTCCATATGTCACAAAAGATAACTCTGAAAATAAATAAATAAAATTGACTCGATTTGCTTGAGTTTATTGGATTTTTCACAACACAAATGGCAAGAACTGGCGTTTGCAATTTTGTACTCACCAAAAAAAATAAAATTAGAGCTTATAACAGAATATTTTACTTTATTACATTTCAGTGAAATAGCATGACAATCTGGTTGAACTACATTTTTTCCCCTAATTTTTTAATTAGGTAAAATAATAATGAGTGATTTTTTGGTTTACCACTAAAAGTTGTGGCGGAATGATGCATATTATTATTTTTAATTAAAAATGCCAATTTAATTTTTGAATATGAAGTTGTTTTTAATTAAAAAAAATAATTCCACCTTGTAAAATAAGGTTTTTTTTTACGCAACTCACGTGTCAACAATTGATCCCTTTCTATTTTTTGTTTTTATTTTGAACTAATTTATTACTAGGCACAAAAGCAATATTCTTAGCGGTGGGGTGGGTGTGAAGTTTAAAAATTATAATTTAGGAGGTAATAAAAATATTTGATAGTTTAAATATGAAATTTGTAAAATAATAATGGTTTAGATAGACATTATGCATTATTTCTAAGTTTAAATGACACTACCATTTAGCACATTTTAAATTATTTTTAGGAGTTCAAAATACACCTATGGATATTGAGTTAGAGAATTTTAATCTTTGAAAGTTATAGTTTAGGAGGAAACGAAAAATAAGGTATAATTTAAGTATGAAATTAACAAAAATATAGTACTATTAATAATAGTTTAGTGATATTTTTTCATTAACTCGAATAAGTTATTTGGTAGAATGTATACGAATAATGTTAAATATGGTGTATTAATAATCTTTGTATTAGTAATGTTTATATTAAATATGTTTTATGTTGAGATTATTTCTTATGCACTATTTGATTTATTGTATTAAAAATAATATGAATTTCTAATTTTTTTAAAAATATTTTCTTACAAAAATACCTTCGACAAATATAGTGGACAAAACGTGAAATCTTTTTTGAAGAATAAATATATTTTTAACCATGCTAATATAGACATTAAAATCCTTTTACTAATATCACGAGTTTCCATATATTACTTATACACATTTTAATACCAAATAATATATATAAATTGAAACAGTATAACAAATAAAATATTAATTATACATAAATATGTTTTTTTTTTTTTTAATACACTCTACCAACGATGGCAAAATTAAAGTGAAATAAATAACGGGCTGAAACATCTATTGAAACGTCAGACGGATAAATATGGAAAAATAGTCTTTTTCATATATTAGGTAAAGAGGGGACGAAATAGCAGCAAAATTTCTTGTGGATAACAGGTAATGGGCATTATACAACAATTCCGAGCAGTCGCCGGGAAACTTTTCAACCGGAGAGGTCAAGAGAAACCGTCAGATGCATATGCTTCAGAAGGTGAGTACAGTGGTGGCGTTTCATCGCCGGTGACCAAAACCAGCAGCCCGGTCAAGTATGACGGAACTCAATCCGATGAGTACGTTTTTTACCCGGATGGCCGGGAGAAGATTAGCGACATTCTCTGCAAGCTCCGTAAATTCGCTATTGTCTCTGCCGTTGACGAATCTCTCAAAACTGTCGCCAGTTAGAATCCATTTCTCTCTCTGCTCATTTTTTTTTAGCAATTCGGCATTTATATTGTTCAATTTTGGTGTTGACTCAATTTCTATTAGCTCTTTGATAGAAGAATTGATAAGGTTGAGCTGTATTTTATGTAAATAGGTTGTCAATTGGTTGAATTGATTTCATCTCCTAAGCTTTGTGAGCTTTGTGTGTTAGGGGAAAGTCATACAGTTTTGTTATGCAATATATTGTTGAGTGTGTGCGCTATATTTCCTGTGTAAATGTGAGATCCAGGCCATTTTGTGACTGACAACTGAAAACAGCTGCCCGTAGACTTGTTAATATTTCCTGTGTTAATGAAGTGATTGAGAACTATGAGATTTCAAGTTGAAACCCCAGTAGAGACAAATAAACATTAGGTGGTTTCCTTTCATATGTCCTAGCCTTAGTGGACAGAGTTACCTGTACTTCTTGTTGGTGGGAGGGGATAGGTATCCTGTGGAATTAGTCTACATGCATGCAAGCTGACCGTGATACCACTTTTATTAAAAAGAAAAGGAACTTGTTAAGATTGGGCAACTTTCTACACTAATTTTCAGATCAAAACTAATTCTGTTGGTGCCATTGTATATGCAATGTGTTTGAAAGTACCTCCGGACTATTACATATACCCTACAAATCCAGTACTATAAGTTAATAACAGAGTCTAGCTTATTTAAGTTTTCTGGTTTACTGCCTTGTGTTTGTATTTGCACCTAGCTTATTTAAGTTTTTTCGTTTACTTCTTCGTGTTTGTATTTGTGAATAGTTTATTTAAGTTCTCTGGTTTTTATATCTTCGTGTTTGTATTTTGCGCTTAGCTTATTTAAGTTTTCTGGTTGACATCCTCGTGTTTGTATATACGCCTAGCTTATCTAAGTTTTCTGGTTTACTTCTTCGTGTTTGTATTTGCGCATAGCTTATTTTAAGTTTCCTAGTTTACATATTTGCACTTAGCTTATTTAAGCTTTCTGGTTTACATCCTTGTTTTTGTATTTTGTGCATAGCTTATTTAAGTTTTCTGGTTTACTTGCTCGTGTTTGTATTTTTGCTTAGCTTGTTTAAGTTTTTTGGTTTACATCTCCGCGCTTGTATTTGTGCCTAGCTTATTTTAGCTTGCTCGTTTACTCTCTCGTGTATGTATTTTCCCCTAGCTTGAAGTTTTCTGGTTTGCTTCCTCTTCTTTGTATTTTTGCTTAGCTTATTTAATTTTTTTGGCTTACATCCTCGTGTTTGAATTTGCGCCTAGCTTATTTTAAGACTTCCTGTTTCCTATGTCATGTTGTATTTACTGTCAATGACATTCCTCCAAATATGGTGGTCCACTTTTCTATGTTTCCTTGGAATAATTTCTTTCAATTAATTCTTCTTTCTTCTCTTTCATTTTAGTTCAGTATTAAAGTCGGATAGTCAATACTGACAAACCACCAGAAGCTGGGATGCTTAGAATAATGTTGAATCCAGTGAATGCATGGTTTCTATCATTTTATCTCAATGCCATTTGCTGTAATTGATTCTTCCATACTTATTGTCCTTGGTCAACACAGGAAGTTCTTGTTCCTAGAGTTTGTCTGGAAGGACCTAAACATAATAGAGAACACGAATCGAGCATGTGATATTTTTTACTCACTTCGTAAAAAAATTAGTTTAAGTGTGTCTTATCTGATGTCTGGGGTAGGGGGTAGGTCAGGGAATGGGGTTTGAGTAGGAGAATGATAATTTAGTCTGCTTAGTCCCATCTTTGGTATATGTATGGGGAAGGGCACTAGGTGCAAATAATCTTTTGCTCCAAATAAAAAGCTCGTGGATTTGTTATCCTGGCTGATCTTGAGAAACATCTTACTCTATACCCCATCCAGCACAGCCTCCCTTCCCTTTGATCACACTACGTTTAAACTTTTGTAATCTAATGTTACGACTGATTTTGGATCGATGGTCACAAGATTGGAATGCTTATTACTGTTAAGCTCATGCACAATTCATGTGATACTTGTTTTTCCAACCTCTTCCAGGATTCCTGGTCACTTCAGCACTTCCATAGACCATCCTTAATGTTATTATAGTCCCACCCAAAATGGTGTCACCCCTCCGTTGATTTGTTGAGGTCCTTTTGGTATTGACCAGTTGTTTGGGATTTTGGATAATGCAAACGGCTATATGCTGACCCATTCGTCCTTGGAACTGCTCTACTTAATACTTTTCTCAAGTCGAGATGATAATCTTTGCCTTTTGGATTGATATACTAATTGGATTTCAATTGTTTCTGCAGGTGGGAGTAAAATCGTTAAGGAAGGATCAAAGGATAAATCGCCTTCACGTCCTAGACTTGACAAACAAGATTTTACTGTTATGATGGAGGAGATGCAAGCAAAGATGGAGAAACTTCAGGATGACATGAACAACATGAAGCAGCAAAATGAGGTGTCAGCTAAGTGTACCAACGGATTAGATTCCTTCGAGTTCTCTGACGAGCCTATCAAGAGTTCAACGCCTACAAAATCTAAACCAAAAAAGGTTTTAATTCGTTCTCGAATGTAGAAAACAGTAAAATCATGGCAATGAGGAAGCTGCACTTTCATCTTTCTTGACAATATAGGTTGTGCTTCTGTAATTTTCTTGTGATTTTGTATTATAACTGTATAATACATGTATTATATTATCATATAGAAGTATTGAACTGGTATTATGATGTGCTTAACCACATTGCCTGATGTTACTTAGACACGCATCGTGCTTACTCTTTTTTCAACAATACTTCAGTATTATTTTTCATCATCATTAATATTTTAAACTTTGTGAACTATCAAACACTATTATGAAATACTAAGTGCTTGGACCAACTAGGTTACGAAATATGTGCAAAGTGTATCGGTAATGTCTATTTGTACTAAAGATACATATAATATATACATATCTATACTCAACATATAGATAGATTTCGATCATGTTTATAAACTAATAGAAACTAATAGGCAGAACGGTATATAACTTGTAACTTTTAAAAACACTATTTACTTGACTGACTGAACTTAAATACCTCTCGTATCTTGCAACTTGAGTGAAATACATCCCTAAATTCTCGTCAAGTTTAGAGGTATTTTTAACACTTTTTTCAGATTTTTATCAAGAGTTTCATGCTCTTACAAGAGTAGAAGACCACATACCATGTCATGTGACAGATCGAGGGTGTATCTAAGTTTAGTTAGTCAAGTAGAAATGTGTTTTTAAGGTTGTCAATAGTTTGGTGACGAAACTAATAATTTGTGCCAAGTTTAGAAGTGTTTTCGATACTTTTTTTTTTTTACCTGGGTGGGTTCACTACTAGTGCTAGTTCAAATTGGATTGGGCCTTGGCCCAAATCTCAAGCCCAGGATGCTCCTTAATAGCCATCGGAAAAGAAATGCAGCTTTTCGTATTCTGGTAACTTCAATCACTGTGTCACCCTCATTGAGAAGATCTCCGATCGTCAAATTACAAAGATGGCGGCGTGGACAGCGGCGGCGCGTCAAGCTTCAGCCCTCTCTCGGCTCTCGGCTTCCAAATCAGTGAATTCAACCAGCCAAGGCGCACTCCTCATCCAGCGGCGCGGTCTATCCGGCGGTGGTGGTAATTTTTCCCCTTTTTATATAATTTTTTAAAAAAATTGCAGTGAAATGAAACGAGCATGAAAAGTGGAAAACTGCTAAATGCGAGTTTAATTGATTGATTTACGCACTTCCTTTAGATTTCTGGAACTTATTGAATATAGGACTTATATATATGATCTCAAGTTAAAAATATGTTGTAATTACTTGCTAATTAGTATTATTTTGGTTTATTAGAACGTAGACACACTAGATTTGGCTTTGGTTAGCTTTGCTTATCAAATTACTAAATGATAATTCATACTCCTTCCATCCCATTTTAAGTGTCTTAGAGCCCAAAAGATATGCTCCCTTGTTTCATTTTGTTTGTCTTATTAGTCCGTTTAAAAAATAATGTTTTTTTCATTTTTTTACAACTCTTTAATTTCAACTTTTCATCTTACATGTTTAAGACAGACATACATTCTACGTATCATTAGTTTTAAACCACACGATTTAAAAGTTTTCTTTACTTTCTTAAACTCCGTTTCAAGTTAAAACCACAAACAAATTGAAATGGAGGGAGTGTTTCAAAATATATGTTTGACAACCAAGATGAAGTTTCTTTTCAATTTTACCCTTACTATTGAAGATGTCACAAGTGATTGATAATCCTTACTTCCCATTTTAAGTGTTGGCTAAGGTTTTAGCTTGCCCTTTAAAAAATATTATGTATAGTGTAATTTTTAGTAAATTACCAATACTTGTTTATTATTTTCTCTCACCTTATTACTCCCGGTAGTACTCACTTTATTAATCCACAGAGAAAACATCTAGAGCACAAGGTTATTCCCCTCTTTATGACATTGTCCTGAGTTAGAACTGCTTCCTTTGCCAACAACCAGACAAAGCAGGATACTGTGGTTTAGAACTGCTTAGCTCAGTGCTCCTTTCTATGTAGTGTGACTTAGTTCGTTGGCCAATGAAGAGACTGAAGGACTGACAGCTTCACATAAATGATTTGAAGTGCAATGTTTTCTGCTATTCAAATTAATATTCAGATTTATATGCTATATTTACAGGAGTTTTTCTAGTTGGTTGGAGGTTGTATGACAATGTACAATAGGCTTGAGATTTAGAGAACCTCTAACCAAACTAGAAGGACTCCTGTTTTAGCAAACCCCTAATTTCTTTAGAGGACAAATACTGAGTAGAGGGGTCTTGATGGACTTAGAGGGTTCATATAGCTGAGCCAACTAGATTGGTGTTGAAGAGTAGTAGTTATATTACATTTTACTGTCTTAATTGGCCTATATGTATCTTCTAGCTTTATTGCTTCTATTGTATATTAGTTCATGTTTGAATTTAGTTTTTTAACCCATATGCTCATTCAAAGCTACTTAGGTAAGATAGAATGGAAATAATTTATTTGAACTTTATCTTCAACAATTTAAAATTGAGAAAATTGGTATGTGACATAAAAGTGAAGAAAATGGTGAGTAGTAATCTGTTATCAGGTTCCTGGCTTTGTTTGTCATGTGTAAACAATGCAAGCCCTAATGGCATTTGGAATGCAATTGTACCGTTCAGCATATTCATAGCTAAGTTATTCTTTGTTATGCAGACCATCATGGTCCTCCAAAGGTGGACTTTTGGAAGGATCCAATGAGCCCATCAAAATGGAAAGAAGAGCATGTGAGTTTTTCTGAATATTTACAGTTCTCTTTTCTACTTGTTTAAGCTGTCTTAGGTTTGTTTGGTGGTTGTCTTTGATGTTATCATCTTGCCTGCTCTGAAACTGTCGAACTTCTTCTTGTTCACTGTTTATGACTTTTTTCTTGTTACTTTTTCATCTTATCGTCATGCTTGTGTTGTTTAGTGCCTTTTGACTGCTGAATACGTTTTATGGACGTGAACTATTCTGTCTCGTGGTGGCTTCTGACCTTAATTCTAGTGATATTTTGTGACGTTGCTTGTGCCGTGTGAAGTGGAAGTTACATCCTATTTGTATGATCAATGGTACATCTGTGCGGTAATTCTGCATCTGTCATCTGTGAACTAAGGCAGAAGCCTTACAAATGAGCATACAACTTGTGTTCCTCATTTCCTGCATCTTTCTAGTCCCAGTACCGTAAGTATTCAGGCTTCATGAGCCCTAGCCCTCTTACCCACCACAACACCTAACTTCTCGAGATAGGCAATGTGGTAGTTTTTGGAATAGATTTTGCAGCAGCGGTGAAAAATGCTTTGGAGGAGAAGTGGGAATAAAACTATTGTATCCAAGAAGAAAAACGGAGAAATGGGGATAACACTATTGTATCCAAGAAGAAAAAAGAACCTTTTTTTTTGAGGAAGCTAACAATTTTATTTCTATTAAACAAAACTTAGACACTCCAAAAAAGCGCTAAGTTGAGATCTTTACAAAAAAGGCTAAAAGGCACAAAAGACCACTATCCAAAAGCCTATATTCTTATACATTGCCAATTAAATAAACTAAGAAAAAAGAATCTTTTGGGGAATGATTGCTAGCCAGTTCGAACTTATGGTTCCAAAATCTCACAAGTAATTTGCCAGGCTTTTTCCAAAAGCCCGTAAACCTTCAATCCAGGAGCTTTGAACATTTGTGTGGATGAGTGCCTCCTCTTAATTTTGTTGGAATTGAAAAAGACACTTGTATTTAATATGTTGGGAAAAATTGGTAGCTTCTAGCCTTCTACATGTCCTGCGGTGGGGATGCTTGTTGAAAATGGGGGACAGAAACAGCTTGAGGGAGAGAAGAGTTAGTGATGGCCTTGAGGAGGTTGATGTAGGGGGTGTCCAATGCCAGATTCTCTATAGGGAGTTGTAGGCGGAGAGAAAAGAGGCGATGCCAGTAATGTTAGTTGAAGGTTGGACTTCTGTTACAGACCGTTATTTAGGAGATTTTTTTCTCAATTTTACCCGTGAAATTTGTGTGTTTTCGTGTAATGTTTTAGTGGGCTGGGTACTATATAAAAAACGAATGTCATACATAAAGATTAATGATTTGATATACTATTGTTTTGATCAACTCTCCATCATCTTTTCTGAAATTACCTTATCCATTGTTTGTGATTCGATCTGTCAGTATACTCGGTGGAGTTGTATGCTGCCGGTGTTCACACATGGTACTATTTTATTTACTTTTACAGAACAAATAAGACAGTTTAGAGTGCAGTAACATACAGGTTAATTGGTCAAGTGTTAACCTTTTGTTGTAGAGGTCTAGTTGAAGGCGTCCTGAATGTTAAGCCATTTGCTACTCTGATATTACCAAATTGTCAACATCATGGGTTTTCTGTCACATTTTTGTACACATTGTTATGGTGATTACATTACTCTTTATAGTCTTCCGGTGTTACTGGGGTCAGAATTTGACCGAGTGTATACTAATACAAACACCTCCGGTGTACATCATAAACTTGTAAGATTGATTAGGAACTTACATCTTTTGCAGTTTGTGATAGTCTCTCTTACTGGTTGGGGTTTGGCCTTCTATGGAGGTTATAAGCTCTTCACAGGAGGAAAGAAAGAGAAGAAGGAAGAGGTACACTTCGTCTGTTATTAAACAAGGGTTTTGGAATTTTTTGTTGCTATTAATATTTATTTAACACTTTGTTTGAACCAATTAGGAAGTTTAGTTTCTATGTTCTTATACTGAGTCCAGTCAAATGGCTGTAGAATATGCTTGGAATTTCAAAGCTATTTTAAACTATTTTGCTAGCATCCAGCTGACTGAAATCTGGTCTAGTATTCACCACATAGGGTTTGTTTGGTACAAAGGAAAATGTTTTTTCCACAGAAAATATTTTCTTGGTAAATAAGTGGTCTTCTCACTTATTTTATCATGTTTGGTAAATAAGTAAAAAATATATTCCTGAGAGCATTTCTATATAATCTAAGCAAACACTAAGAAGGGCGTGTTTGGGCAGGGTGGTGGGGTGGAAGTATTGGTGCGGGTAGTGTGTATCTGACTCACAAAACAATTATATTACACAAAACAATTATATTAACCTACATTTAACCTTATCGGACACCCTTTGATCCATTTTAGGATTTGAAACAGTGACAATAGGATAGAAATTGTTAAGTGACAGGTGGGGGTTGGGAGAAGATAATCAGTGGAATACCATTTATCGAACTTTTTTCCCCTACTCTAATTAGGGAAGTCATTTAACCTTAAAAAATAGAACTTAGAGCTAATGCAATCAAAGCCAATCTTACATCATGTATATGTAATATAAATATGTGTACCATCTTCACTTTGAGAAGAACTAATATTCTCAAGCTACTTGAAATTTGGTCTCTCTCTATATACCTCCTCTGATTTACTTAAATCTCTTTGCAGAAATGATCACACGGACGTCGGGTTGTCTCTATTCACCGGCAATAAAGTAGTGTAAGTTGCTAGGTCATTGTGGCCTTGTTCAAGCCAATATGAGGATGTAATTTGTCGTCCCCTATCCATTCCATTCTAGCTTTGAACTTCGAGTTGTACATGAAATGTTGGTCTAACAATCAACTATGAGTTCTTTCCTGAATCGTTAATCCATTTAATAACCATCACCATGAGTATGTTGAGGAGATTCATAACGCAGTATTATGTTCATAATCGTTCTATACATTATCCCCTCCTCCTCCTGCGTCGGTACATTGAATTTCTTATCGTGAGTTCAATATGCCCTAGTGAGCCAAATGCATCTGAGGTGTGTGACACCGACAACATAACTAGTGTAATCCTGCAAGTAGGATATGGGTTGTGTGGTGTGTATGTCGCCTACCCCGTATCTTGTGAAGGTGTGACACTATGTTACATTGTTCAAAGAAAATATGCCAGGTTGAGATGTTTTTATTGATCCATCCTCATGAGTCTATCGATAAAAATGTTTATGATGTGCATAATAAATGTATACATAGCGTATAATATATGTCTTGGCTGGTGTATTTTACATTAAAACGAGAACAAAAAAAAGTACATTTTGGTTATTAAATGTCAATTGAAATTCAATTGAGAGATCATTTGTGTACTTCAAGTACATTCAAAACATAAGTACTATATGTGGAGTTATAATCTCATTAAGTATTTGAGTCTTGACATTTAAGTAGAGCACATGCAAGAGAAATAAATGAGTTGAAGCTTTCTATTTCCCCTATATTGGTTATGACTTGTGAGGCACAATTTACCCATATTCTTTCAACAAATTATTTCTTTGTCTTCGTCTATTTAACAATAGTTGTCAACTATTGACTTGGTACACACATGAAACAATAGATAATGGGGGTAATTGTCTGTTTAATGATTTTTGAAAAATGTATTAGATATTTAATAAGAAGGGGAAAACAAACACAAAAAGGTAAATTATCTCTTTATTTTTCAAACTGAATAAGTATTGTTGGACAATTATTTTTAGTATAGTGAACAAGTAATCTTGGCGGAGGGAGTATTCAAACTCTCTTTCAATCCTTCTATGATATTTATGTACCTTAAAGTTTATGGGAGACTGGACCTTATGGTGGTGAAAGATAATTTATTGATTCAAACTCATCATTCAACCCCCAAAGTGTATTGAAACTTCAATTAAACTCTCTTCCCAAATTTATTTTTGCAACATACTTTGAATATGACTTTTCAATCTTTGATTCAGACCCCCTAACTAATTCATGACTTCACAATGTGAATTTATTAATACTCGGCTTATATTCAGACATAGAATTATTCAAATTCATAAATGCATAATAAAATTCTAAACAGAAAACTTGAACAATCAATCATATCAATGTTACATCCATTTCCACGTAGAAATGTTAGAAATAAACTATTTGAAAGATAGAGATTGGCAGTAAACTTCATCTCTCTTTGGACCTCAAGGAGTTTTTCCAAAGTTGAAATGCGTATATATTTTTTGTTAGAGCAGAATCACATGTGTACTTAGGGGTGTTCACCGGTTGGTTTGGATCGGTTATTGGTCAAAACCAAAACCAAATCAACTTAATCGGTTTTAAAATTATCAAAACCAAACCAAACCAAATATAATATACATTTATCGGTTTGGTGATTATCGGTTTGGTTTGGTTCGGTTATTCGGTTATTAACCATACACAAAAATAAAAGAAACAATTCATTTAAAATGTGAAAAAAGTGACAACAATCCATTCAAAACGAAAAATAGTTAGAATGACTTAAATTACTAAACTTTCAATCACTAAATTTACTATCAATAAAGCTTTAAAATTCACTATATTGGCCTAGAAAAAAGAGACAATAACATTTTTAGTCCCACAAAGAATTGACATAGACACTCATATACATGAAATCAATAAGATAAATGTTTCATCTTGGGCATTTTCGCTTTCAATAAGTAAATTATAAAGAAATTTTAATGAAAATATGTATAAGATCTTTAAAATTGTTTATAAAAATAATATATTAAGTATGTATATTAATAAAATATATGTATATAATTTATCGGTTCGGTTCGGTTATTTCTTCGATTTTTTTAGAATAAAACCATGACCAAACCAAATACTATCGGTTTTCAAAAATCTAAAACCAAACCAAACCAAACCCAAATAAAATCGGTTTTATTTTATCGGTTTGGTTTGGTTTTTCGATCTGGATCGGTTTTTATCCAAACCGTGAACACCCCTATGTGTACTTGATGTATAAATCAAACAACACTTTTACAAACTAAATATATTTTCTTCTAAACTTTCCTAAAAAAAATTTCTTTTTGCAAGTGAGCATGCACACAGACACACATATATGCGTTTAGTTTTTTATCTTGTATACTTTTAAATGGTGTAAAATTTATTTAAGACTGTAATTCGAAACATAATTTTTCTCATTTTTTTCTTTTGTTATTCCATTGGAGGCTGACTAAATTCAGATTTGCACTATAGGGCTCATTTTTGTAGGTGATGCTTTCAATAGAATTTTTTTCATTTCTAGAAATTCGAACATGAGATGATCTCTGATTAAAAGTGGAGGGACCCGAACGGATCTCATCACAATCTATTTTGGTTATTTTTTCCAAATTAGTCATTCAACTCAAGTGTGAAACTTTCATTAAACTCTATCCAAATTTCTTTTTGCATGCACCATACATTGACATGAACTCTTCTTTGATTCAGACGTCCTAACAAATCCATGACTTACTCAAATACACAATTAGAACTTATTATATCAACTTGATTTATTCTGTATGATGTTTTGATGATTTGACTATATCTTTAATTTGAAGGGCCTTGCAAATTCTTACAACAACGTATTCAGTATAATTTTACCTGTGGAATTTGAGTAGAATATGATATACACAAGATCAAATCTTATTCTGTCTTTATAGGTAGAACGATTGTTTTTTGATAGACCTTCAGATAAAAAATGTGTAACTAAAGTAGGATAAATTAAAAAGGAAGATAACGATCATAAAATAGCAAAATAATTAAAGCAAATTAAGTAAAATGTAATAATAAAATTGAATAGTCTTACAAATTCTTATCTCTCAAATTATCAAATGGAATTTAAGTGTTAAGTTTGAAAAGTCCTACCTACGGGTCTACACTTGTTTATATATGTTCTTTTATTATTATTTAAATATATAATAAAATGATTTTTTTTTTGGGGGGGGGGGGGGGGGGGGGGGGGGGAGGGGGTTTTAGGGGGACGTGACTTTTTGATTGTGTATTCTTTGTAGATCATGTCCTTTAGACTTCTGAAATAAGGATAATTAATTAATTTGAAAGTTAAAGTTACGATTTAATAGCACCTTGAAGAAAGAATGTGAATCGTCTTGATCTAACACATGAACTTCTTAGACATTAAACTTGAAAGCTTCTCTTCTATGAATCAGAAATCACTAGTTCATATATAATATTCAGTAGAACTCGTTACTCATATAATAATAAAAATGTAATTCTTCAATAAAGAAATTCAATTGAACCCCTTCGGACCATGATGATTGATGATGACTTTACTCCACACACATACATATATTACTACAAAATTGAAGTTGGAAACACCATTAATTCATATATACGACATGAATCTATATAATTAAAATAGAAAGAGAAGAGAAAAAAGATATTGATATAACTAATAACTAATATATAATTATGTATAAGACTTGAGAATTGCACCACAAAAACAACAAACAATTGCCTTCCAAGATCTCCAATAAAAAGGGATGTAACAAAATCTTGTAAGTGTACACATATCAGCCACATGGGCACTGCAATTGCATCTTGAACAAGAACAAGCTATTGGTTTACTCTTTTTCATTATTCTCTTTTGATCCACCAAAAAACAAAAGCACACCATCAAAAAAGAACTTTAATATATTTACTTGCTATATAAAAAGTATATAGTAGTAAATGGAAGAGCAATTTCAAAAAAATTCTATACTTTTGATAAAGTCAAGTCACCTTGGGCTTGTAGGATCTAAAAGAGTGGTGGCTTTTATAATAAGCTTTATATAAGTACTAGAAGGTGTGGTTCTTTTTTTCTCTTTCAAATATTTCTATGATTATATTATTTTGGAGGAAGACAAGGAAAAGATGAAATTTGACCGTCTTAAATTTCTGAGTCAATCACTAATTTAAAATTTAAGGAATTTGAAATTCATATGTATGTAGAGGGTTTGAGTGAACACTCTCGAGTCTTCCCAGATCCGCTCTTGATCACACATCGTGTGTGAAACTGAATATTGATGTACGATTATTAGGTTGCGTATACGTAGTAGCTACTACTGACACGCGATGACTTGGTATTTCATGTCTCATTTGTTTTTGTGATAAGATTAATTAAGATATTTGAATATAACTATATATGGGGCAAAGATGTGTATTAAGATAAACATCATGAATCTAAATATTATACATTTGAATATATTAAGATCTTAATACTAAATAACGATAGTGGGGTGATGGTTAATGGTTATGTTGATTAATGATGGGTAATAAATAGCTAGTGATCATTGGTGGTGGTTGATGGTGGTTGTTAATATTTATGCCGAATGATAGTGATAACTAACATGATGGTTGTTGTAATTGATTGTTAATATCTATGTCTGATGATAGTGATAGCTAATATGATGGTTGTTGTTACTGATTACGTTGGATGATATATATTGATACATAAATTGATGATTATCACGGATAATAGTGGTTATTATCGATGACAATCAACAATTATTGTGGTAATGATGATTATACATGATGTTCAATAATGATGATTAATACTTATGAAGGTTGTGATAATATAAACTTTAATATTTTTGGGTGGTGGGAGTAGTGGTTATTATCGATGACAATTAACAATTATTGTGGTAATGATGATTATACATTCAATAGTGATGATAATAAATGATGATAATACTTATGAAGGTTGTGATAATATAAACTATAATATTTTTGGGTGGTGGGAGTAAATTGTGTTACGCTTCAATAATTAATTAAAGACTGCGATATATATACAATAATATATGTCTATTTTATATATAGTTGAAATGTGTTTTTCTTGTGTTAAAAATGCAGAGCCTAATGGGTTGTTTAAATTCCAACTTGGCCACTACAAGTCCAAGCCTTCTCTATTGGGGGAATTGAAATACATTTAAATTGAGTAATAAAAATAGTTAAGAAAGAGAAATCAAAATTGATGAATTAAGACATTTAAATCATGAAAAATAAATATAACTATATGTTATATTCAACCTAGTTATATATTATGTTTGATTATTCATAAGTAATATCGGATAGTCATGACTCGGAATTTCAAAATTACAAATTAAAAAATGGAAATATATATTTTAGAATTATATCATGCATATTATCGTGACTGCTTTCATCAAATTATCCAAATTATCATTTGGATAAATTTAATTAATTTTTCAAAATAACAACAAATCTAACAAATTCATTCTGAAACAATGAAGGTTTGTCATTGTTTTAAGTTTTTTTTAATAACATCCATTTATTTTCAACCTTTATGAACTTAATGTTTCATGTAAAACTAATTTCAAATTCGTGATTAATGGATAAAAAACATCTAACCATCCCAAAAATACTAGATAACAAGAAGTTTAACAAAATAAAGTTTTGTAAAACTTATTGCATTAGTATATATGGCATGTATAAAATTTCTAAAAATACCTTTAAAAGATAAATAATTTGTTATTGAATTAAAATAAACTTGAATATTGTGAATTAGATAGAAATTTCTATAATAAATTATTATTAATCAGAAATTGTGATGTTGTTGATAAAAAGGAAAAATGCAAAAAATAATTAAAATGCTAACATTATTCACACAACATCGAATAAATCATACAAAATATACGCATATCAATTGAAGATTCATTTCATTGATGTTACTAACTTTTATAAATCACATTAGATTTCTTTTAAAGATTAGATTTTTTGTTCAGATCTAACGTTTTGCTAACTAAATTAATTAAGATTACATCTTACGTTGCTTTCATTTCCTGAGTCACATTCTTCGAAGGAAGTTAGGACAAGAGGTTTCGACCTTATTATTTCCCTCTGCAAATAGGTCAAATAGTAATGTAGTGAATCATTATCCTTGGCATAGACGATTAGCTCATAATACAGTATCGAATAACGAGGTCGAACATATCCTTTTATTATTTCTCGAAACTCTAATTTTGTTTTGGCCTCTTTATTATGCTCATCTACTGCAAATTGTCCTAGCGCAATCACTACCGGGTTCGTTATGTTGAGTGGGTATGAGCCGCCTTGTGCGGCGGAGACATGGAAATGAAAAATATAAATTTTTTGACAATAAAATGACCTTATTTATAGTGGAAAATTCACACTTGTCAAGGGACATAAATTTTTCAAATTTTCAAAATCATTAATTTACAATAACTTCTTTTTTCTTCATTTTTATTTAAGATTGGAAATTTGATTATCATCTATGTAAGTTGTTATTTTTAATGATAATTTTAAAATAAGTTAGCCTCCTCTATCTTTCTTTCTCTTTTATTCTATTTTTAAAAAAGAAAAAAGAAAATAAGTGATAGAAAATGTATATTTTCCTTCTTTGTTTGTGGTAAATAATCTTTTTTTTTTCTAAAAGAACTTTAATTCAAGTGATTTTACAATCAAAGTGGGATAAAGACACATTGATTTGTGAGCTATCTGTTGATTTGTTTATATATAATGAACATTTAATAATCAAGATTGTCATAGTTATTAGTTATTACAATTTGATAGATTTGTTTTTGCTTTGACCAAATAATGCTATAATTAATACATAAATAAAATAACTAATTCCTCATCTGCTTCTTATTCTGATGATAACTTGGGCTTTAGGTCCAAGTTTGTGTCTGGTATGGGCAAGTCATTTAGCCCAAACACCAGATGCAAGTGTATATATACGTATTGTTTTGACTAATTCAAATTCACGTTGTATAGGGTTAATTTAGAAAAAAAAATATTTTCTAATAACATTTTTTTAATGCTCAACGTTCGAACGTGAAACTTCTTATTAATAGGTGAAGGGATCCATTTGCATCATATTCTGAATCAAGTGCATAAACGTTCGTTTTCATTTAACCAATGTATACCTAACGTATTTTTTGTCATGTTTATAGCGTTGGGATTACTTTAGATGTATGCGACTAAAGTACAAATTGAATGAGGACGGTCAAATAAAATACTTTTTGTAACACCCCGACTTTTCAAAACGTCTAAATTAACTCGTATCTTCGTGGAAAGACAAGGAGGGTGAGTAATAAATTAAGAATGATGTGGTATGTCCTATTTTAAGTGTTCAAGTGTTGCATCTCAAGTTTTGAAGTTAGGTAAGTGGCAAAATAAAAGTTGGCGGAAGTTATCGTAAGTTCCTTCTTAAAGATTTCTCTGAAATTTGGGTCAAATGTCTTGGAGGTTTTCTCCCAATCTATAAAGATTTATGGGACCCACAAACTATCGAATCGAAGGTCTACGAGTCTAGTTTCTAACGCATCAAACCGTTCATTCATACGACTTCAGAATAGAGAGATATTCGCATTTTCGTGGGACTGCGCAAGCAGGCACGTGAGGTGGGGCCCTAGGTCGGTGGAAAGTTGTATATATCTTCTTCTTCGAGTTTTTTCTTCATTTTAAGCTAAATATACAGAGAAAACATAGAAACCCATTTTTAGGATCAAGTGAAATATAGATTTTCTCGACGTAAGTCCTTGACGAAAGTTGTTCTACGCGTTGGGCTCAACATCGTGGTATAATTTGTTTTATCGATTGCGTAGCATATCACATTTTAGTGTTGGGACAGCAGGGGTTTGAATATATTTGAAGGTTTTGAGGTGAATTACGAACCTAAGATCGAGGTAAGACCCTTCTTTCATTGACTCTAGCTTTTATAAGCAGCAAATAGCAATTTGCGACGGAAATACATATCTTTTATTGTATTGTCATGGTATCTTTTATTTTGTGTGTTGATTATGGTCCTACTTTGTTGTAGTATCAAGGGAGTTATGAGTTAAAGTCTTTAGGCCACGTGAATTTAGTGAAAAAGGTATGTTAAGGCTATTCTCTTCCTATGACATGTTTCCTTAAAGCTTAGGAGCAATGTGATTGAGTTGCTATCGTTGTTATACTTATAGCTATTATTGTTGATTGTTAGCTGCTCGAGTGCGTATAATCCTCTCTTATCGAGATTCTTATTCAGTAGTAACATTCGTATGTTGGACACGACTTAGAGGTTATTTGTATAGGTTGCCTATAACTAAATTGCTCACTTTTAGCTGTTGGATTGTTCTTGTTGCCTTTGGGCTATTATTGTTAGCTGCAGGAATGTGATTTATGCCTAGCAGGGTTATGTTTTGCCTACAGGGCTATATGGATGCCTAAAAGGGCTATGAGTTGCCTACGGGGCTATATTGATGCCTAGAAGGGCTATGAGTTGCCTACAGGGATATATATTGACGCCTAAGAAGGTTATGTGCTTCCTACAGGGCCATGTTGTTGCCTAAGAGGGCTATGAGTTGTCTATAAGATATGTTGATGCCTAAGAGGGCTATGCGACTGCCTGCGGGGCTAGGGGACTACCGATAGGGGTATACAGGCTGATTGGCACCTTCCGGGCTTATGGGGGCCTGAGTAGGTGGTCTTGTGTGCTGTTTGTACCTACCGAGCTTATGGGGGCTTGGTTAGGTTGTTGTTTTATTATTTTTGATAAATTTAGATTTAGAAGCAGGTCAGTACAATTATCTTATCCTTAATTTATTTATCAGATTATTCCAGTATATTAGGATACCTCATCATAGTCTATTGTCTTTCATACTCTGTACATTATTTTGT